GATTTTCATTGGCTGATACATTCTCGTCGATGCTAAGATAGGTATTCTTTGAAAAGTCAGAGGCTGCGCCTTTACTTTTATCTGGTTTTATAATAAAATACCCTTGTCTGCTTTACAAGGAACAAAAAAACTCACATATCTTTGTTTAAAAAGTAAATTCTCACATGTATTTTCATGGGAGTCGCCATCTTGTTAGCGGTTTAGCGACCTCTACTGGTTACAAAAATTAAATAGGAATCAGACCAGACTCTCGCTCGAGCTAAGTCTCGAGAGTGAGAGTCTGGGGTAAACGAGACTAGATTCCTATTTAATTTTTGTAACCAGTAGAGGTCGCTAAACCGCTAACAAGATGGCGACTCCCATGAAAATATATGTGAGAATTTACTTTTTAAACAAAGATATGTGCGTTTTTTTTGTTCCTTGTAAAGCAGACAAAGGTATTTTATTATAAAACCAGATAAAAGTAAAGGCGCAGCCTCTGACTTTTTAAAGAATACCTATCTTAGCATCGACGAGAATGTATCAGCCAATGAAAATCCATACCGATTTCTCGGTAAGCCTCGATTTGAAATTACAAAAATTAAATAGGAATCAGACCAGACTCTCGCTCGGACAAAGTCTCGAGAGCGAGAGTCTGGGGAAAACGAGACTAGGATCAACGTGGGTTCATGCGGGTCACGTGGTTCGCCGCGCCTTGGGATCCGTGCGAATTCCCGCCATTCGTGAAACGCTGATACACTTTTTCACTCTTTCGTTCCTTGGAAATGACGGAATATAAACGCATAGGCACACAAACACACAGAATCACCTCTTCATTTGGGTTTCTATGGTAGATGCTGGCGTGAAAGTACAAGTCACAGCTCCGGCTCGTCAGCCACGGTCCTCGTCAAGTCCGTCCCCCGGGGATTGAGATTCCAAGGAAATAAAGCTGTGGTGTGATGTCCCGGTTGATTAGAATTGCGTGGGCGCCATTTGTAGCCAGTGGAAGAACATCAGAAATAACAATCTTGTTCAGGTTCAATATAATTTATTAAATGTTGAAATAAGATGTCAAAAACCTGAAATATTACAATTACATACAACATATAGACGACACATAGACAGACATTTAGACAGATAATTAAAACATAATAGACTTTACTTTAGAATAGATTCTTACCGGGACACACACAGGGATTTACAAATTTTACTATCTGTTATTGACATCTAACCAGTTTGACGGCTAGGCTAAGAGTGCCCGATGTTAGTGCGTGAAAGCGGGAATTTGGTGAATGGGATAAAGTCATGTGACTGTCCGTCTTGTGTCTAAAAATAACTACCTCTTTCACACAAAGTCTTTCATACCACATTCTCACATATACGCAGCGCAAGTATAGTATGGCATTAAATACATGTAATACATTTATAACCCTGTTACTTAAAATATTTTTCTCAAATACATGAACTTCTATTTTCAAGTTTTGACCGGTTTTACGATTTTTTCAGTTATTCTACATGTAAGGTTTTAAATAACCGTTTTTTTAACTTTTATCAGTATTTTTTAATATTTGCCCTGAATACGACTCCTTATTGTGATTTAAATGTATAATGTCTTCTTTTTTTTACTTCTGTCCGATATTTTAAATAATCAAAGTACTCAGAAGTACTGAAAGCCGGGCTCATTTATAGGGTAATGAACAAGGACCGTGGTGACAGTTTAAAATCAAGTTCAGACGTTTAGAGGATATGTTACACCCAAAAATATCCCAATGGCATGTATAGTATTAATCAAAGTACTCAGAAGTACAAAGAGCCGGGCTCATTTACAGAGTAGAATGGATTTCTTACATGAATCACGTTTATATTTTGATGAAAAAATTATTTTAAAACTATCAATATAAATTATAAGACACTGACAGTGAGTTTTTCAATCCTAATACCACGGTCCGATTTTGTCAGAATCAGAATTAATCTGGTACCGCAGCTGAATGTAACAAACAGGCCAGTCTGGTTCCCTCTCCTGCTTTACCTCGTATGTGAAGAGAACTACGGTAACACTGATTATCAAAAATCCTTACGCTAATGAACTATGTTTTTTGACTTATGAAGTTTTCAAAGTCATTACTACTAATGTTTATTTTATATAGATAAAACTTTGTTTAATTTTTGTTGCTTTATTTAGCGTCTGTATTATCTCAAAAGCGGTTGAGAGTAAGAACTATATTTTTGCACGTAACTTTAAAATGGCGACTATGGGGTCAACATCCTGCCTTGAACAGGATCACATAAGCCGGTTATTGCTCTTTGAGCAATAAGCCCGGCTAAAAATGCAATTTTTGGTATGCCATACATGACTGCTTCACTGCATTAGGTGTGTTAGGAATCAGACTGCCATTTTAGTGTCTCTGAAGGTTAGTTGATCTCGATCGTGACCATTATGGATGAAAACACTTGGCATTTAATGTGTCAATCTCATGATATGAAACTGTTGTCGATATACTGTGAGGATAGTGGATGTCCGGTATGTACAAAATGTCTGACTACCTCTCACTTAAAACACAACATATGTGATACAGCTGATTATGTCGAGAAACATAGGGGGGGGGGGGCTTATGGAAGCCATGTGTGGTGAAGATTCACTACTTGATGAAATAAAATGTAGCCTGGTGAGTAAAGGTAAAATTTTAGAAGAATAGGAAACCAAAGTCCTTGATCAAATTATCGAAAGAGAAGAAGACATTATCGGGGAAGTTAGAGAAGTTTGTAACCTCTACAAAAGCACTGTATCTTACATTGTTATGGATAGTGAAGAAAACATTCATGCAAGTGAGCATATACTGGAAAACATTTTGAACAAATCAGAATTTAATACAAAAACAGATAGAGACCGCATCATATTGTTGAAATGTTATAGAGAATTACAGAAGCTTCAAAGGGAAATAAAAACTGACGATTTAATAAACGTTACCTTTGATGCTTTAGAATACAGAGGTAAAAAGCACATAGAAGAGTTATTCGGGAATTTGAATAAAGAGTCTGATCACAGTCATGCATCTGATGAAGACAGGCAAATTGAAAGAAAGTCACCCTTTCGAGGCAGAAATGTTGAAAAATGCTTTCTTGTTGTAGAAAGAGAAAGAATGAGGAAAACCAGACCGTATTGTTTGAGTTTAAATTTACTGATGATACAATGAATGACTTCAAGGGATTAATATATTCTGGGGAAAATATTTTTCTTCAATTGGATAACAAGTTCTTCCTTTCTAGTGATGCAAAAACTCTTTGTAAAGAATTTACAAATGTGAGTCACATTTGTAGACTTTCCTCTGGTCTTGGAATTCTGGCTATAACGGACAATGGGGCGATTCTAAGGGTTCTTTTAAATAACGGAAAGTGCATGAAATACTATCAGGCGGAAAAATTGACTCGAATTCTGGCAGTAGAAGAAAATATTGAAATGGGTATCTCTATGCTTCTGGAACAAACAACTTTGGAAACTAAAAGTTATCAAGGAATTTATTTCATTTCTGAAACACGACAATTATATATTCTACAGGTTGATGAAAACGGGCGAACAAAATTGATATCAAATAAAAAAGAAATCGAATTTAAATGTCCGCAAGACATAGAATTTCGTATATGTAAAAACGAGAAGACTCACATAGCAATGATATGCAAAGGATCACTGCACGTCTTTAAAAAAGATTTATCAGTTTTATTTGTGTACAAACAAGGATTACAGAGTGGTCAATATATTAGATTTGAAGCATCTTGTGCCTGTTTGGATCCTGAAGATAATATTTTGGTGACTAATAAAACCGATAATGCGGTTCACATGTTAGATATTGCCGGTAAGTTTTTAAGGATTATACTCTGGCCAGAAGAAACATTACCCAATATTATTTCCATCTCGGTTGATGAAGAAAATTGGATGTTGTTGGGTATTAGCCGAAAAGAAAACTGTAGTAAAATCTTACTTTTTGATTATGAATATTTGAGGCGAACTAAACGAATGCAGAGATCACTTGGCGAGAGGGACGAAAACTTGCTCGATATTTAATTCTATTGTATTATGCGATTTGGATTAACTTGTGATTTGCTTTAAGGGCATTTTTTGTTAATTCTAAAATTTTGAAGGCAATCAAAATGTGTAACATTACAAATTTTAAAGTATTTAACACGGGATATTCCTTAATACGTAGAAATCTGGATTTTTAGGAAAACGTAGACTTTATAGCAATTTTACATAGATTCTATGTGAATGTCAAAACCATGAATTTTCGGGTTTATTATACATAAATATTCTTTTGTACTCTAAGGTAAGTAAATGCATAAATGTAAAACGCTTAACCATTTAGCAATGTTATTGGCTTACATATAAAAGTATATTTTATTTTTTTTATTTTTTTTTTTAAACTTTATTTTCGGGGTTAAGCAAAGTATTCTATTCTTATTTTTTTTACACGACCGATCATCGGTTTTTATCCTCGTAGAATAAATGAAGATAACGAACAGTATTCAAGCTGAGAAGTCCATTAAACAATACAAAATAGGATCAGAGCAGAGGTGGGATCAGATACCATGGAGGAGTGAGCATCCCCTGCCAACCTGTCAGGCCTGCCGTGTACTCCTTGTCATAGTCGGAAAATAATGGAAAATCCCTTGTTAATTCAGTCTGTAAAGAAAGGCCTAACAATTAGTATGAAAAAAACATCAATCAGCATTTGAATCGCTGATGATATTAATTGTATTGTAAGAATTTTTTTATAAACTTAAGTAAAATGTGAAGGCATAGTATGTAGATCACATTTACTGTAAGTATTTTAAGAACGGCGTCATTTTAATATTCACTGGTTATTTTTGAAACATGCTGTCAACACACATGCATTGCAATTTAGTATACTAACCATTATCGTAACCATTAAATCAATTACCACAACTACAAAATGACCTTTATGTAATATTGGTGATCTGACAAAGTTCCATATCCTACCGATCAACCATCCAGATATAACATAATAGGGTTTATCTCATAAGGATAAACCAGGTTATTTAGTGCAGTAATAACTGGTGCATAATTTTAATGGGTAAAGGGCAGTAACTCTCATAAGTAAATCAATTGTAGTTTCCCTGTGGTGTACCCCTTTTTTCTATGTCGTGATCATGCGCAAACTTGTCTTTAATTTGGTGAGCATGCGCGTTTAACTCTTCCTTTTTCTTCATCAACCCTCAGAGCAGAACACACGAAATTTTAGTGTCCGACAAATTTTGTTTAAATCGACATCCATCATTGGCATCGATAAAATAAACTGGAAAGATGTTGCGAGCTCCCAGAAAATCAAAGTCTAAGAGTCCTTATGCCCGTCCTAGCGGTCAAGCTGCTGCAGCCGTTTCCACTGCGGTTAGGACCATGCCACGAACCCAGGCGGCCATTACACGGACTAGGCCTCAAGGTACTACAGCCACGTCAACCGTTTCGACGGCGACGCTTCCCCAGGTTGCTACTATAGCCACCGGTATTCCGGTTAACAGCGTGATGGAACAAGCCATACAGACCCAGCAGGACATGGTTAACGAACAGGGGACTGGGAGCACAGCTAACCCAGGTACAATACACACAGTTGATTCTTTGGCTTTGCCTTTACCATTTATAAGTACAGCTTCCCCCCTAGGTGTTCACGTATCGCAAAGTTTGAAAGAAAAAATATATAACAATGAATTCGTTCATCTCAACAAACTATTATTTCACGACCCCACGTCTACACCTACAAATCAAATAGTTTTTGAGGATGGTGCATTCCAACTTAAACCCAAAACTAAAGAACAAAAAATTGTGAACATATCTCAGTGGGTGGATGCTTTTTTGATTTATGGATCAATTTATTTAGTTAAGCATCCTATTGAAGCATTGTCTTTGTTCAGGTATATGGCAACGATAAAGAGGGGGGCAGATAATATGTATCAGGGTTGGCAAGAATATGACATTCAGTTTCGATTAAAAAAGTCATTCAACTCGGCAATCAGTTGGGCATCTGTGGATGCAGAACTCTGGTTAGTTTATATGCAACCACCAAGTAATAAAGCAGGTGGGAATCAGTTGAGAAATCCTCAAACTAGCTTAGCACCTTCTCGTTTAAAATGCTATAGTTTTAATTTTCAAGGGGTGTGTAATAAATACATGTGTAATTATTTACACCAATGTATTAAATGCAATGGCCTACATCCTATGAAAACTTGTATCAAAGGTAGCCAGTTTCAAACAGCTTCAGTAAATAACAATACTAACAATAATTATTACAGGAACAGTGGAAACCAGTTCCAGAAGGGACAAAAACACTAGTTTACAGGTGGCAAATGACCTTCAGCTCCAGTTATGGGATTTGGGCAGATCACCTATAAATGTATCGCTTTTAGAACAGTTGTTACAAAATTACCCAGACTGTGAGAATGCCAAATGTTTGGCTAATGGTTTTAAATTTGGTTTTAAGTTAAATTACATTGGAGATAGAAAACGGATAGAATATAAAAACATGCTATCGACCCAACAATTTGTAAATGAGATTCTGGTCAAGATAGACAAAGAAATAGAGCTTGGGAGGGTGTTAGGCCCTTTTCCTTACCCTCCCATTTCTTATTTACGTTGTAACCCCATAGGTATCCTTCCAAAGAAACAAGGGGGTTGGCGCATGATCACCAATTTATCTTATCCTATAGGGGATAGTGTAAATGATTATATAGATTCAGAGTTGTGTTCAGTCAATTATTCGACTTTTGATGATGCATTAAAAGTCATTTCGGCCAAAGGTGAGGGGGCATTAATGGCTAAAATGGATGTTTCAAATGCATTTAGGTTGTTACCTATATGTCCTCAAGATTTTTGTTTATTAGGTTTCAAAATTGCAGACTTGTACTACATAGACAAATGTTTGCCCATGGGCTGTTCAATATCTTGCTCATTGTTTGAAAAGTTTTCAACTTTCCTTCATTGGGAAGTGCAGCATAGATCAAATATTGAGAGTATAGTTCACTATTTAGATGATTTTTTATTTGTTGGAGAGAAATCTACAGATGAATGTCAAATATTAATGTGTTGTTTTCAAGAACTCTGTCAAGGGCTGGGGGTTCCATTAGCTGTAGAGAAAACTGAGGGTCCAACTACTCGTATTTGTTTTTTGGGCTTAGGCATTGACACTATAACTCAAACGATTTTTATTCCAGAGGACAAAAGAAGGGAATTGTTGTTAAAGATCCAAAATGTTTTAAGTTGTAAAAAGGTAACGCTCAAGCAGTTACAATCCCTCGTAGGAGCATTGGCCTTTGTAGTTAAGGCATTACCAGCAGGAAGGGCTTTTTCTCGTAGGATTTATGGGGCAATGGAGGGAGTTAAAAAATCGTTTCATTTCATTAGAATAACAAGTGAAATAAGAATGGATTTGCAGATGTGGGTTCAATTTTTGCTCAACTTTAATGGTACCACCCCATTTCCTTCGCAACATTGGCATGACAGTGAATTTTTAGAATTTTTTACAGATAGTTCAGGAGCATATGGCTGTGGGGTAGTATTTGGAAATCATTGGTCTTGTTTATCCTGGCCTACATACTGGTCCTCAGACATAATTAGGGATATAACATTATTGGAGCTGGTTCCCATAGTATTGGGTATTAGTATTTGGTCATCTAAACTTAAAAACCTTAAATTGTTGCTTCATGTAGACAATATGGCTCTAGTGCAGATTATCAATCAAAAAACGTCAAAAAACAAAAGAGTCATGGTGCTGCTACGTTTCTTAGTTCTGAAAACTCTTCAATTTAATATTCAAATTAAAGCGCAACATATAATGGGTGTGAAGAATAATGTGGCTGATGCAATATCTCGATTTCAGTGGTCCAGGTTCAGGCAGCTAGCCCCTTTGGCAGATCGATTTCCCTCTTCGGTACCAGTGCAATTTTGGGAAATTATGGAGAAACTATAAACAAACTTTTACATGATAGCATATCAGAAAATACCGGTAAAGTTTATAAACAAGGACTACAGAGTTTTTATAATTTTAGAGTCAATTGTGAATTTCAGCAAACCTGGCCTCCACCTCTGGACCATATTTTAAATTTCATAGCTTATTTGTCTGAGCAGGGATGTTCTTTTTCTACAGTCAAATGCTACATGTCAGGGATAAGTTTTCTAATTAATTTAAATGGTTGGAACAATCCGTTAGAGACCTTTTTGGTGAAGAAGTTGATGGCAGGGTACAAAAAGTCATCTTTGTCTTGTGATATGCGTCGACCAATCACATTGGCATTGTTGCACAGATTATTAGGCGCAGTTCCGCATTTGGCATTCTCAACGTATGAAGCAGTATTATTTCAGTCATCTTTTGCCTTAGCATTCTTTGCATTGTTAAGAGTAAGTGAAGTTATAGATTTAAGAAGGGATGATATTCAGATTTTAGGCAGTGGAATATCAGTGTTTATAAAAAGTTCAAAAACGGACCAATTAGGCTCTGGGGCTTCAGTTTGGGTACCTAACACGTCAGAATCAGTACTGCTAGTGAATTTGTTGAAGGAGTTTTCCCTGCTGTCTAGCAAAATTGATAGGGATGTGTATTTTGCCCACTTTAACTCAAAGCCATTGACACAGTTTCAGTTTTCTAGCATGTTACATAAATCCTTAAAATTTCTTGATATCAAAACTTCGAATTACAAAACCCACTCATTTCGCATTGGGGGTGCTACTCACTTGTATTTGGAAGGGTTGTCTGAAAGTGAAATTCAACAAAAGGGTAGATGGAAATCAACAGCATATAAATCATACATTCGTCCTTTAAATACTTAGATGCAAGTGTTAAGGTTATTGATAGAAATTATGTAAAATATTTGATTGAAATTGATGCATTGATTTTCTACAGGGGTCATTTGGATTATAGGATCTTCAATTGTACATTGGGCACATAGCTATGCAGTCAAATCTAATGAGTCAGACCTGGGATTAGGCCAAACGAAAATATTGTGGCATGGAATTCGCGGAATGGTATGGGAGCAATTAAACCCAACATTAGACTTTTTATTAGTTAGTAACAGAACTCCAGATATCATTATTATTCACTGTGGGGGGAACAACATTGGTCAACAGCATAACACTTTAAGGGGTATACAAATGATGATAAAGGCCAGTTTAGCAAAAATAAAAGAAAGATTACCAAATTGCATTATTATTTGGTCTCATATCTTGCAACGTAGAAACTGGTCAAATGTAGTAGCTAACACTGAAGGAGAAAAATGTAGGCGGAGAATTAATAGTTCAGTAGCATCTTTTGTATTAAATAAATTAAACGGAGCAGCTATTAAGTACCCAGATATAACTGCAAATCAAAGGAATTTATTCCGTTCAGATGGTGTTCACATGACAGATTTAGGCAATGATTTGTTTATTAATACTGTAAAGGGTGCATTGAAACGATTTTTATCTTGTAAATTTCAGAACAGGACCTTTCCTTGAAATGGTTGTGCTTGTCATGGTTAGGTGTATATCGATATGTGTTGTCATATAATTTGATTGAATTATTTTCAATTTGAACATGAGCGCATCTGTCGCAATTTTTATTATTTTGAATTGGATCATGAGCGCATCTGACGCAATTTTATCATGAGCGCATCTGACGCAATTTTATCATGAGCGCATCTGACGCAAATTTATCATGAGCGCATCTGACGCAACTTTATATCAAATTTTGAATGTTGGTGAATTTCACCTCTTTGTGCGCATTTTGTGCAAATACTTTGATTGTTTTGAATATTTCAATCTGTTGAAGGGGCAAAATTGCCGCCTTGTTTTATGGCGGATGGTACATTCGACTTTGTCATATGTACCATTTGGCATAATTTTGCATAGAATACCGTCTCCGGGGGGTACTGTTGTCTCCAGGCTCCTTGGATCCAGGTGGTATTTCTATTGCTGTCTCATCTATATTTATTCTGCCATATAATTGTAATCGGCGCATATATTTGTGAATTACATATTAAAATGTACATATAATAAAAGGTCATGACAAGCACGCCAAACATAATTAAATGTTGTTTTTATTTCTAATGTGGTTGAGGCCAGGTTTATAAGGATGGTGTTTTATAAAAAAGTTTAAGGTTAAAAAGGGTGGCTTTATAGTCACTAAATAATAGGGTTTATCTCATAAGGATAAACCAGGTTATTTAGTGCAGTAATAACTGGTGCATAATTTTAATGGGTAAAGGGCAGTAACTCTCATAAGTAAATCAATTGTAGTTTCCCTGTGGTGTACCCCTTTTTTCTATGTCGTGATCATGCGCAAACTTGTCTTTAATTTGGTGAGCATGCGCGTTTAACTCTTCCTTTTTCTTCATCAACCCTCAGAGCAGAACACACGAAATCCCCCCCCCCCCCCCCCACCCACCTCCAGAAAAAATTAAAATTTTAAGTTATAAATTCTGAGAATGGTGTCTTCTGTTTTTTCTCAATTTTTTTTTTCAGCGTCATGACCAGGACTTGTTAACAAGGGATGTCAGTGTCAGCGCCGATTGGTAGCCATGTGACAAACTTTTCGTCTGATGGACAGTTTTTGCTTTTGATGGACTTGGCATAATTTTGCATAGAATACCGTCTCCGGGGGGTACTGTTGTCTCCAGGCTCCTTGGATCCAGGTGGTATTTCTATTGCTGTCTCATCTATATTTATGCTGCCATATAATTGTAATCGGCGCATATATTTGTGAATTACATATTAAAATGTACATATAATAAAAGGTCATGACAAGCACGCCAAACATAATTAAATGTTGTTTTTATTTCTAATGTGGTTGAGGCCAGGTTTATAAGGATGGTGTTTTATAAAAAAGTTTAAGGTTAAAAAGGGTGGCTTTATAGTCACTAAATAACACATGTATTGTGTGAATATTATCATTTATTAGATGACAATACATAAAATATTAACATTTTATATAATAATAACAAAAATAATCTAAGGGGAGATCCAGACAATACTGACATCACAAGTTGCTTTTATAACCACAACTACAAAATGACCTTTCTTTATTTGATAAATATTTCACTGTTTATAATTAATTTACTTTATAAAATGTTTATACAACTATTGTATGCTGTGTACGATCAACATATTTATTTTTATCTTGATGTCGTTTTTATGGATTCGGGTCATAAGACTTGAGCTCACTTTTGATCTCAGTCTCACTTTTCCACTATATATTCCTTTGGTGAGCTCATCTAAGTTGTATGAACCCAGACCTGATTCCATGCCCCGATACAATGGAAATTCCCAACACGAAAAACGGAAATAGACTTCTGAATAGCTTTGTAAAGATTTGCGGGTGAAATCTTAATATAACTTAAGAATAAACCTTATACAAAGTGTAATTTTAGAGGGGAAAACATGAACATTTCTGCTCGCAATACAGATTTCAAGAAAGTTAACTTTTCGCAGATTCTTTTTCAGAACAATTGTTCATATATCAAAGATTACATAACTTTTTTAGTGAGTTTAAAATAACAAAAGCTATACCACTGTTTATAAAATTATTTGATATTTAATTTATTCACAATTTCAAATATAGCAAATAAACCATTATTACATATACAATTGATGATATTCAACTCACAGAGATAGATTGGCAACAGATTATTTTTGGATAACTTACACATGGAACTGTGGTCCATAAAGAAAGGGGAAGGTACTCCCAATTTTAATTTGAGTGATGGAAGAAAATCATATTTCTGTAGTAGTCTCGGAGGGATGAGTGGGAGGGTTGTGAACATACTTAGTATTTGGTTCGTTGTTTCCATACCCAGCCATCAGACATGATGATTGGTGCAATAACAGATAGGTTATTTACAAAATAAAATATTAGTTTTAAATGTACATGTATATAACCTTGTTTTGTAATGTCAAATAAAATGTTTACGATAAGATTCTCAGCCAAGTCAGCAGGTTCAAGACCCCCTCTACGTCATGTAAATATAACAGGATGGGAGACGTAGTCCTAGAGTTCTTGGGTATAGAAGTACTGCTGACAAAAAGCAATCACCGAAAAGCAAGGAATACAGATAGTCTCTCCAAAATGACTAGTACCTAAATTTGAGATCCCTGGCTCGTGTGACCAACACAAGGCCACTGTGTACAATTAAATTTTATTGAATCTACAAATCAGAAGTATCAGACGAGAAGAAGTCATTATAGCGGAAGCTAGAGAAGTTGGGTGATGCTGCTTTGAAACGGGACGAAAAAAAATTCAGAAAAGTAAGGAAAATACTTCAAACAAAACAAGTATTTTAAAAATTAATACAGAATGGTAAAAGACAGGATAGAAATGTTGATTTGTTATAGTGAACTAGGAAGCTTCGCAGAAATATGAAAAATAACCAACCAATTAACTTTATATTCAAAGACTTAAAAAGCAATATATGTATATTTAGTAGAAATGACATAAGGCGAAGAACACCGTTTTCGATTTGCTAAAGGTCGAACAAATATCAGAATTTTTATTAACATGTTACTTTAGTATAAAGTTTTAAACGCAGTTTGAAAAAAAGAAAATGTTGATTATGTGTATTGATAAAATGTTGTTTGTTTAAGTGAAAAATAAAGCCTGGTGTAAAGTTGTACACTTGCTACATGTATTGGACTTTTGCGGCTTACATTAACACTAGGACAATGAAGGAAAGCTTTTTTACGATATGAATATATAACTCAACATCTAATTCAATGAAAATACAGTGACATTTCTATTCGTCATCTGCAAATTGCATTTTTATTTAGTTTTTACTGATGAAAAAAAACAAAGGCTAGAAAAAATATTTTGCCGCTAAACCGTCTCATTTTTTTTTATTTCGCGAAGAAAAACAGTTTCAATACGTTAGATATTGAATACGGGAGTTAATCGACATCAGGAAGACGGAGCAACACTAAATAGTATATTAGTTATTAATAATAATAAATTATAAAATTGATAACGACTAGAGGACTTGCAAGTTATGTTATGAATTATACCACACCTCGACCTGTGTTCAGATTGGGTGTACGAGCTGTAGAACAGCACGCACATACATTATATCGTTTGTACGTTTAGTGAAACACTTATATCGTTGGTAGGTTTAGAGAAGTGAAATACTGAAACACTTATATCGTTTGTACCTTTAGTGAAACACCTTTCTCATTTCTACGTTAAGTGAAACATCTATATCGTTTCTACGTTAAGTGAAACACCTATATCATTTCTACGTTAATGAAACACCTATATCATTTCTACGTTAATGAAACACCTATATCATTACTACGTTTAGTGAAACACCTATATCGTTTCTAAGTTAAGTGAAACACCTATATCATTTCTATGTTAAGTGAAACACCTAAATCATTTCTACTTTAGGTGAAACACCTCAATCATTTCTACTTTAAGTGAAACACCTATATCGTTTCTACGTTTAGTAAAACACCTATATCATTTCTACGTTTACTGAAACACCTATATCATTTCTACGTTTAGTGAAACACCTATATCGTTTCTACGTTTAGTGAAACACTTCCTGGCTTTATCCTATCAGATCTGGGTAACCAATATTAAAAATAAATATAACGAACATGTTTTGGGAAAAAAATCTAGTACTGTAATTCTTTAAATTAAAAAAAATCTTATTCAAGAGATAGAGTTTCATATCGTCACTAGGTTCAATAAGGTCTATAGAATAATTACATTATGAAAGTGTAAACGAAACAGGAAGATTCAGTTATATCGATTGATAATAATCGTTTCTAGTCTTAAGGACATTTGTTTGAATGTTTAAAAAATACAAACGTCTGAGTGAAAACAAATATTGCACGACAATTCTTGCAGGTTTGAGTCATAGTAGTGTTAAGTGAGGTCGTAAAATTTAATTTATTGACCCTCTGATAATTTGTCATTACAGCTTTTAACTTTTGAGTGTTTATTTTAAAATGCCATTTGATAAAATATTTCGAAAAAAAAAACATTTTATCTTTTAAAATGTTTGGTTGTTTAAACTGTTTCAAGAAGTACAGGATTTTTCCTATCCAGATGCAGATTCATATAGAAACTTGCCTTATTAAAACGTTCTGTTCTGAAATAAGTCCACAAACATATTTTTATCTATACTTAAAATCCCATTGTGAACACAATAATGTACCCTGCACATGAAGATTAAAGAAACTAGGGTACTTAAGTATGAAATTTTCTTCAAATACCTGGATATACTGTATACGTGTAGTTTTTATCATAAAATGTTTTGTTGATCAATTTTCAATTAGAAAATGCATAGTACATGTAGCTGTCTTTATTCGCACTTCCTGAAACTTAATTTGAGATTTACTAATATTTCCATATGAATTACTTAAATGAGGGAATTTGAGCTTTTGCCGTGGATAAATTCACATTAAACCAGTATTTTGAAAACTCAAAGGCATCTTTGTAAGCACCTGATCCCATCTCCGATGTGTTGGAGGTCTGTGTTTGCTATGCTCCTATTTTATATTGTTTTATGGACTTTGATATTGAATACTGTTCGTTATCTCCATATCCGTCATTTAATTACTCATTGCCTGAGAACCTGAGGATAAGACTACCTTAAAACAAATCGAGATTTATCGGCAAAAATTCATCGATTAATATTTAACTATTATAAAGTTTAAGGTTATAAAATTCCATTACTTCTCATTTGTTCTTTTGAGATCGAGGAGGGGGTTTCCCTATTTCTTAAGGTCAATGTATGCATATAGTTGTTCTTGGAACAGCACTTACAACAAATTTCAAGGTACTTTACCTAAGACATGGCTGGCCAACATCGAGCTCGAGATTAAGATGAAGAACATTTATTCCGTCAAAGGGACGATCCCCATTGTAATTATCACATGGATTCCCATCAGAGTAAAATACACCTGCATTTTAATAGGATATGTAAACATGCAAATATCAAGTACTTTTTTATCATTCTTATCAGTTTTCATTGAAATCCTTCCTAGATTTATTGATTCATTCCGTTTTAACCCTGATTAAAAGGTGTTTTTATCAAATAAAAAATGAAACACTTATATGATTAAAATTTGACTACCACAATTCTTATAGGATTTTCTTTACTTCCTATTATATTCACCTACCCTAATCTAAAGAATAATTAAATATAGGAGAAGATATAACGCAAAAAGGAAAATTAAATGATCGGACACAATGGGTTGATAATCGTCAATTCCAAATTTTTAAGATATTTACTTGCTTAATCTACAAATAAAAATGAAAAGAAAGACTTGTATATTAGGTACTTGTGGATAAAGAAGGCAAATCGACTAGCAGTGTTATTTACCATAGCAGTTCATATAGATGACTCAAAACAACGAGTGACATGAATATATAAACTTTAACTTTATATGATTAAACTGCAATTGCAAATATAAAGCAGCATAGCAAGACAACCTCTCTTAAAGGATTCTTTAACACACAATATTAAATAAAAACATATTCTTGGTAAACATTGATGAAATTTCAGGAAGAAACGTCGGCGACAACATTGGTCAAAAAGATATCTAAGTTGACACCTGTATGAGTCTACTTGCTCTTAACCTCAATACAATGCATGAATCTCCCAATATATTTAAATTTCTAAAGAAAACAAATACATGTATATTGATCAAATATTGCATTTTAAAAATGATTAAATGTTTGAGCTTTAAAGTACAGGTCAATTCACTGCATTACTACGTTATGTTTTGAACCAATAGGGACTTCCGCAAAGCAGGTCAATAGATTTGAATTAAATTAATAATGTGAATATACATGTATCTTCCTATTAAGGTGGTAATGATCAAGGATTGTTATGCTCCTTGATTGGTTAAGACACCTTTTTCTGAGGTGTACCTCAGAGTGGGTTCACTTCAGATGAAGTTCCGGGAGGTTTATTCAGATCTCCATTTAATTTGCTTAATTTTTTTTCGACAAATCAAATTGCATGAATTATACTAAAGGTCATTGTGAATATACAGCTGTAAACACGACAAACTTCAATGTACGTTGACCTCGGTTGACCAATAACTGACCAGGTCCGTATAGTCACTAGTAGACGTCATAAATAATTGTATAATAATAAACTTCTCTATCTTGCTACTTGTGAAGCGTAAATTCATCCCTCCCTGTCCCTCAGCAAAAGATGAAAAGATTTTGGAAAAAAAATATTAATGTGTATTAATTTTCAAATTAAAATGACTTATAGGTCAGATGAAATATTATATGCTTTGGATTTTTTAAAGACACTGTCATCACAGATTTTCGAATCATGTTTGATAATTTTCATCATTGCAACGGCATGATAATCAAATGCATAGAAAATATCTTTTCATATTTGCAAAGAAACTTGTGCAGTCATTAGACCTGCCTCAAGTTTACTCAAGTTGCTAGTAGCAGAAAGAATTGTGTACGACAACAATTCGACGAATATTTCTCTCTCGTCCCTTAAAAAAAATGGGCGTGTCAAAGTTTCGATTCAATCGGAAAATTTATCACTTCATTTTGCTTCATTGTTAATATCTTTCCCCTCGTTATACTTAAAAATATTTATAGCATGTCTCATAAAGTAATTTCCTGGAAATGTCGATTTTCAGCGATGTAAGCACTATGTATAGGTAACGGCTTCCTCCTTGTGACATTATTTAATCCCTATTGCAACATTGTAACATTATCGAGGAAGGGTATGAATCTTTTTCATAATAGTTTTTATTTATATATTTAAGTATTTCTTAAAAAAAAATATTTTTAAAATTTTAATTGATATTCTATACTTGATTTTATAGGTTTAAAAAATTAAATGCCTGGAGAACAACTAACTTGCGTCTTCCAGCTTGCTCAAGCAAAATTTGGAAGCAATTTACCAAACAGGTCAATGATGTTTGAGGTATTCTCAATGTTCAATTCATACAAATGTCTTTGCTACACAAAGAAGGAATTTTTGCGGGATCTATGCGAAAAGGTCACATTTTCGCAATTGAAAGATTTCATATATTCAAAACGCGACAAGAGTACCACAAAGAAGGAAATCTGTGATCGAATCGAGTTGGCCTGCTGGCGACTTTGTAAGAGTAGTTATAGCAAACGAGTGGTTGCTGAATCTGAACTGTTCAAACTGTGGCAGATTTTTAACATCTTTGCGGATGAAGAGTCCTATCCTCCTGTAATATCACAACGAGATTCAGCTTGGGTCGTTGAAAAATTTGCTTCATATCAAAACAGTGACAAAAAGGAAACTCGGTGGGAGAAGGGTGAGTTAACATTTCAGAATTTTGTCAATTTTCTGGAGAATAACCTTGAGCCAAGATCGATAGTCCAGGCTACAAAAGAAATCCATGAGTGGTTGATTAAGGAAGTTATAAAGGGTGGGTGGGTCTATGTGAGAATAAAACGGCACCAAAATTGGTCAAATTGGTTGAGAAAATGGGTAACTTTATCTCCTGGGAAAATGTTGCTGTCTTCTGGCAAAACCTCTAAAATCTCAAGTTGGAACACAAAGAGTGTATTTTACATTTCAGAACAAACCCATATTCAAACACAAAAAAATGAAAATAAAGGGATGACAAATGTTATTCACGTTACAAATGCTACACTATATGAGTGCCATTTTGCAACTGTGGGAGAAAATGAGATGCATTCCTGGTTAAATGCCTTCACTGAATCGGTAAAACAATACAGAGAAGGCACTAGCCCAGTTCATACACTCTTAAAAAGACAAAACTGTAGACAACCTGAGACTGTGTCTAGTCCACACATCATAGCACGTGAAAAGTCTTTTATTCGCTCTGTATCAGAAAGGAGTGTTCGAAAAAATGCAAAAGATGATGGAAAAAGTGTCTCCAAGCAGAACATCAGTCAAAGATGCCTTCTTCGTTTGAACTCCGTGAACACAGAAAAAGAGAAAATCAAAGCAGTTTTTCTGGAACTGGACAAGAATGGGAATGGATACTTGGAAGAGAGGGAGTTTGCTATGACACTAAAAGAATTTGGACTGGATCTAAGCGATTCAGAGAGTAAAGAAATATTTAGGAGTATAGATGCTGATGGTGACGGGAAGGTTGCATTCAATGAATTTTATGACTATTTTCTAGAAAAGATCTTGAGCGAGGATAAGTCTGCTTTGCTTAAGGCTTTTAATGAGGCCGATCGAGAAAAGAAGGGAGCAATTAATTTCAGAGAGTTTTCAGAGTTTGTGCGCGACAGACATAGCACTATCTGCCTTGATAAAGTATTGTCAACTTTTGACAAGTTAAGCAAAAATGATTGTAGCGGTGAACTATCTTTCCAAGATTTCCAGTGTATGTCGATTCTCGATGACCTAGATATTTTTCCAGATTCAACTGAAAATTTTGAAGCTCTGCTTAAATCAAGATTTGATTTAACAGATCCAAAAAATCTTAGACAAAAAATAGAAAACAGGTGGCAAAAATTTGCTTCTTTCAGGCGTCAGGGTGCAAATGGAAGTGTAGTTATGAAAGGTGCCAATGGTATCGTAGAAGATGTAGTACCAGGTGAATACAACCTCAAAGATCTTGCAAAATTCGTCGACTTACCAAAATTACTACCGAAAGTGACCATTGTCAAAGGGGTTTCATGGGAGTCCAGCAATATTCCAAATACATCCGGAAACCTTGTTTTTCCGTCTGACTTTAATGGCATTTTAGAAGTCGAGATTGCCACCAGCGAGCTGTTGGGGTTCTATGGGTGCACTTTTGCCGACAGTAGAGCAGAAAAGGTTTCTCTTCCGTACCGGCATGCTGTACAAGATTTTACCTATGAGAATAATTACTTAGCTGATTACGTAGAAAAACAAAATGGCGGGGCTGGTTTGGAAAGGCATGGGTTTTCACATCTTGATTGTCCATTGGATGAAATTTCAGGATATTTTATTTTAGCAAAAATGATAGGGGACGAACTTCATGTTTCGGCTTTTAAGATTCCAAAAAGACATACACTGTACATTCCGGAGAATTGCATCCATTCTAATGATTACCTGAAAGGGACCTGGCGAACCATGTTGTCTGATGAAACCAATATAGACCATGTTCTTCTCAAACGAAAAAACTCTAATGGCGAAGAATCATGCTTACAATCTTTCACTTTTAAATTTTCCTAATTTGGAATTGTGCAATATACTTTTATCAGCTTTCACAACTGCCACAGCATTTCAACTGTTCAGTGATAGTTTTGTTATCGGAGGCATTTTTTTTTTATTTTGTCCGAAATTTTACCATTAATAACGATATTTTTCATTTATTTATGCTTGGTGATATCATTTACTCAAATATATCTTGATTTCATTTTTCTCGTTCAAAATATGCAGCTTTTATTTACATACTTATTATGATATAAAAACTACGAAAGTGGAAATCTCTTTTTCTTTCACAAAATCTGTCGGTTGATTACAGATTGATGAATTCAGTTTGGTAAATAACCTCATTAAGTATAGATGAAGCAAAATTTGAAATGGTGACATCAGCTGGTTTAATTATTAAAAATCTATGAAATTTGGCGGAAATTGACTTTTGAATACGTTAGCGTAGATTTGAATTAGCGCAGTTCCTAATGTTCTCTATTATGTATATATGTGAAAGACATTTAGCGTTGTATTTGAATTAGCGGAAGTTTCTTTCCGCCAAAAGCGCTAAAAAGAATACACAGCCAAATGTAATAAGTTTACAGTATTATATGTATCTACAATCGAGCTCCATTTTTTGTTACACGTCACTATAATTATACGTCTTGTGCAACTTTGCTTTCAATATTTCATTATTATGTATTTATATTTTATGTTCATGTTTTAAATAACGATTGATACTGAATGCTTTGTTTGTTGATGACAAGTTATTAAGCTTGCATTTTAAAAGTTTGAGGGGTGTTTATAATTGAAAAAAATAAGATTTGCAATCTTAATTTACACACTTGTACATCTCATACCTGCAGAAAAGGTGTATTTGCTTATTTTGTATTCGTATATGAGGAGGTCAGTTGAAAGAATTTGAAATATTCAAATTCTCCTTACTCCAGGTTTTGCCTGGAGAAATTGTCCTGGTCGAGGGGTACTGGAATCATGTTAACACCCTCAATGTTATACTTTTAACTGTTTTATTATAAAGCATTACCGATAAAAATGTATTATACCTAAAAAATTTCGTAGCAGCGATCAACCAATACTTAGTAACTCAAGCACTACAAAACAAGGATAAGGCATACACTCAGCAATATCGAGGATATTGTTCACATCTAAAGATCTAAAATTTTTATTTTTGGAGAAAAATTAGGTGTATTATAAATTTGCTTAAATTTGAAGACACCGTCATCCAAATATCACAGAAAGGTATGGATGCATGTTGTATATAAACAAACATATATGAGACATGCTGAATATCATGAATATAGATTGTTTAAACAAAGGCCCATCCTGCAGTAGATGGTAGCACAAAAAAAGAGATCCATCAAAGCTCAAATCTTATAAATACAGAGTAAAGGATTTTATTTGCAGCCCTCGAACAGTCAGCAAATGGTGACGTTTTATGTGAGTGTAATATTCTCAAAAGTGCGCTAAACAAACAAACAAATCACTCTGGAATGACTTTTTTCAGAATCTACGAACTGCTCTTTTTGCGTATGTGTTACGTTTTATGGATCCATTCGTTAACTTAAGTTGTTTGTAAATGCTCAAAGATAAAATAAAATTCCAGACCTTTCTTCTTAAAAAGACAACTAATTTCTTGGAAATCAGTTGTTTCTAAGTTATGCAAGGTCATAATTCAAACAAGGCAAACGGGATACTGTTTTAAAGCTTCTTTTTAACATAGATAACAACATGTAAATACACTTCTGCGCTGTACCATTGAACATTTAATATCTGATGCATTTGCTATTGTTATGTACTTTAAAATACACTTCAAACTATCTAAGGAAAATAGACTATAAAATCTTTCACGACAATGATTTAAGAATTCTTAAGAAGGCTGTTTTATCTCTGGAGAAAAATATACTTAAAGGTATATAGTATATAAAAATAAAAAGGGATTTCATTTAACGTTTGTCGAAGAAAATAAACATTTCACCGAATAATAATGTATTAAATGAGCCTGAGTCGTGTTATCCTAATTTCAAAAGCAATGTTAATGTTTCTAAAACATCAGATCAGGTGCTATGGAGAACTGGGCATCCTCTACAGGACCTTGTCATGTTAGGGAAAAATTGACATTTATCTAACTGACTATAAAATCTTTCACGAAAATTATTTAAGAATTTTTAAGAAGATAGTTTTATCTCCAGAGAATAGTATACTAAAAAGTGTATCGTACATAAAAATAAAAAGGGATTTCATTTAATGTTTGTTAAAGAAAAATAAACATTTCATCGAATAATAATGTATTAAATGAGCATGAGTCATAATTTCAAAAGCAATGTTAATGTTTCACAATAAAGAAACACACGTTTACTGAAATATGGATATAACAAACAGGTATTCGAGCTCAAAAGCCCATTAAACATTTCGAAATAGAAGCAGAGCAAACACGAATTTTTAAAACATCAGATCAGGTGCTATGGAGGAGTGAGCATCCTCTACAGGACCTTGTCATGTTAGGGAAAATTGACATTTATCTAAAGAATTAGATTACCTGAATCTTGAAAAAAAATAAGAAACACAAAACTTGGATCAGATTTGGTACTAAAAAAGATTTATTGTATGACTTTCCTGCTTTAAAAATTTTTGTTTATTTGTTGCTTATTAACGTCCCTCTGCTGCAAATAGTGTCCTATACTCGGCACTTACAACCACTGATCAGTGAAGGTTCCTTTTCGTGCCAGTACCTACAGCGACAAGGGTTCCTCGGTTTATACAGTCTCATCTAAAGACTGTTTCCACGTCCAAAAGTGGGAAAAAACTTGCAAACTTGTAGACCTACAGTACCGACCAGACCCAACCTGACACAAAGCAGTCCCAGAGCAGTCCCGGGGACTGCTTTCTGGGACTGCTAAAGCAGTCCCACAGCGGTCCCAGAGCAGTCCCACAGCGGTCCCAGAGCAGTCCCCCAACAGTCCCAGAGCGGTCCCAGCAGTCCCAGCGGTCCCAGAGAGCAGTCCCAGCAGTCCCAGAAAGCAGTCCCAGCAGTCCCAGTTGGCGGGGTTTATTAATTTAATGGGCGGTGCTAACTCAGAAATGAGATTTGCAATAAACAATGGAACTATAAAAGGCAGTAGAAATTGATTCTGGGTAGTATGCCAGGAATCCTTACATGTACGCGAAGGTCATTTATGAACAGAACATGAACGTGCTTAAAAATTGAAATATTTATTGGAGGAAGAAGGCTTTCACACTTACATGTACATATATGATTTACACTGAACATGAATATTTAATCACAATTCTTGGGTATATTACTAATTCCTCTGTGATTGATACTGGTTCCCATATTTATTTTTTATACAGAAAATCAATTAAATGTGAATTAATTATTTTCCACCAGAAGAAGTTTTAATAGATCTTATCATTATATGGCCAATTTAGACTATCGGGATACTCAAAAGTTAGAGTTTTCTTAGGTATTGGGGCTTATAAAAAAATTCTTTGTTAATTTTGCCAAGTATTATTTTTCAGTCATGATTATTTTTACTGACATGATAATTTAATTATCGTTAATGCCTAGTTCTATAAAACTCAGTTTTAAGTGTTTTATTTGTAAATGTTAGAGTGTATACATCTGTAAATCACCAGAATGGAAACTTCAGATTATGTCCAAAATTAATTAAACCCGAAAGAAATTTATACACATTTCATTTATCACATTTTTTTTGGCATTAAATAAATTGAAATTAGGGTCACTGTTTACCAGCATGTTCAATGATGTGTAACACTGATACAAATACCCAAATAACATATATCGATTTTTCTGCCCAAAGGCGATTGAAACAATGGGTGTTGATACCATCTTATAAACATTTAATTAATCGGCCAGGTAAACACTAGCAAAACAGAAAAGAAATAAATCCTAATTCCCGGTATTTTCATTTAAAAAAAAATATATACTCTTTTAATAACTTGTTTATTAATTAAACGCTACCGGTAATTAATTAATTCCCCAATGATTATTCACATAGTTTATGTTACGGGAGAATGGTAGCATAATTTTATTTCATGGTCATTTAATAAATTGTTGAGTTTTATTTGAGGGTTACATGGAATACATGTACTCTTTTTTTAGCGTGGTCCTTATAAAATGTGTAGCATTTTTATATTTACATGTAATTGTAATGATTATTTTTAAATAGTACCAATGCAAATTTTGAGTACAAATTAAAATTTAACATTAAATAATTAAAAAAGGCCCACATGTGGCTATTTTTTTTTCTCATAAACTCGTAGTTTATTTTTAGGGATAAAAAATTTCTCATGAATTTCTTATTTATCAACTTTATTTTTTTAATTTATTTTAAATACACATTAATTTGTGTCAGTATACAGTCCCTGAAAATATAAATTGACTATAATAATCTCTACTTATTACAAGAATGTAAGAAATCCTTGTTTATTAAACAGTTTAAACTCCTCTCCGCTGCAAGTAAACAAAACAATAGGGAGCCTGCAAATTCAGAATACACAAGGGGGCGGAGCTATCATATCACTCAGAACCTTTTTCACACATGAGTGAACAAAGCAGTCCCAAGGGCAGCTGGGACTGCTGGGACTGCTTTTCATAGCAGTCCCATAGCGGTCCCAGAGCAGTCCCACAGCGGTCCCAGAGCAGTCCCACAGCAGTCCCAGAGCAGTCCCGGGGACTGCTTTCTGGGACTGCTTTGGTGTCAGGTTGGGTCTGTTCAGTACTGTACTTTGACTCAAATACTAGATCCGATCGACGTTTTCTGGATAATGGAAAAGATTATAGAAATTTTATTATCAAATCAAAACTAGATATACATATATATAATACAAGAATATTCGTTGGGTGTTGCGTTACCGAAGGTTAAAATCCATCGAGATAAACTTTGAACTTTAGAGCTTCCTTTGTTTATTATCTTTACTACCCTATCTCCTATGTTTATTATCTTGACTACCCTATCTCCTAAGTTTATTATCTTGACTACCCTATCTTCAAATTTATC